ATTATATTTGGTACATATATTAATTTATTCACGACTGAAGCCAAATCGGGAGCTTATCTAACAAAATACCTTAACAATAACAGTCCAAAAATGTTAATATTCTATATAATATATTGAATAAAATTAAGAAAATAAGGAACAATTAAGAGAAACAAAACAAAATATATACAATTTTGTTGAAATTTTTCGGTTTATAATTTTTTTTTTTTTTACATGAATTTAAATGTATTATCTTTCTATTTCTAAAAATGTTTGGTGACTAAAATATTATTTTATTAAATATATCTGTTTAATAAATCTGTTTTGTTCAATTGCACCAAAATACATTGCCTATATTCACTGAGAAATGGATAATAACAAGATTTTTTCGAAACGGGGTGTACTTATTTATGCTGAGCACTATATATATATACATATATATATTAAGTGTCCTTAACTACTATGTACTTACATAAACAAATAAATACAATGTACTTACTGTGTTTATAATGTATTTGTGAACACTTGTGGTGCACTTGAGTTGGGATAGAGGTTGGGTTATGGACAGGTTTGGTGGTGTGGGTAGGTTTAAGGGTGGGTTAAGGTGTAAGGGATGGTCAACAGTGTATTTACGAATGTAATTACAAAAGTTAATTACAGATGTAACTACATACATGTATTTAATCAAGGAAAAGTACACAGTAAATACATGTATTTACACAATAAGTACATTGTAACAAAATATAAATTACTGTGTAAGTACATATTAGTTAAGGCCACTTAATATAAAGTGGGACCATATATATATATATATATATATATATATATATATATATATATCTCAGATGCTGTAATAATTCTAATAGTAAGTAATATTTAAGATTTGTATGTTTGTGTGTTTTTGTTCTGTTTTTGTTCATTTTATTTTTCTGAAAGTAGCAGAAAAAGATCAACTATAATAATGCGGAGGATTTGTTTTGAAGAACATGGCATGATGTGTAATGTGTCCCAAGAAGAAAAAAATAATAATGTAGCTGTTAGAGCTCAAGCAGACCTTATTGAATATAGTTTATTTATTTTAAACATTCCCAGTCTGTGTGTGGTTTTTATTCATGTCTATGTGTAGAATTCATCCAAATCCGTGTCTGTTGCTGTTGTGTGGTGTCCATGCTGCTAAAAGAAAAGTACAGTTCATATAGAGAGCAGGGACATCATGTACAAAGACTTGCGTTGAATTCATATTAAAGCATTGCGTACGCACAAAGCTGTAAATGTGCGTACGCAGTAAAAAATGTATATGTGTGAAACACTGTGGAATCCCACGCATATTCTCTTTGTACATCCAAATGAACGTGAAACTGAGCGCACGTGCACGAGCGCAAAACCCCTCCCTGCTTCCTCCCCCCCATGAATATGCTAATGACTACACTTTGGCAAACCCAAACGAAAAAGCAACGGCAAGAGCAAGCAAGAAGAGAAACTTTAAACAGAATGTGAATTGGAGGTGCTCCTTTCGGAGGCAGAACGAAAAAAACTGTGTTATTTGCAAGTATGTCCTCGGGAATTAATGACAAAAGAAAAAAAATTGAGTGAGAGAGTTTAGCTGACGCGGTTAACACAGTGGGGACTGAACATCGCACTGTAAGCGAACTAAAAAAGAAATGGTCTGATTTATAGGTGTAAAATTAGCACACCCCGTTGGAATGAGCTAGTTGAGAGATTGTTGTGAGGCAACAAAACTAAAGTGCGCGGCAAACATCAGTGTAAGTTGCGTAGCTCGTAAAGCGCATGGCAATATGTTTTGACACGTTCGGTCATGAACTCGGTTCGAATCCAGCGTCTGATGAACTCATTCTTCTCTCTACGCACATTCTCACATTCATTTCATTGTTAGTAAATCCAAACGTGAGCGTGAAACCTTGCGCAAAGTTTTTGTGCGTACGCAGCATTGATACATGAGGCCCCAGATCTTATAAATAAATTCATCATTTGTCAGCTAGCTAAGTGTAGATGTCTGTTTTGGTGAAATGGGTAAGTTGTAGCTTGATTTTAAAGCTTGTAAGATTCCTTTGTTTTTCCGAAAAAGCTTACTCATCATAAGAGGTGCAGCATGTAAGTTTGACACCCAGTGGTTGAACTAGGTATTGCACTCCTGGTTCAAAACACCAACCTGCAAGATGAGGTTGCCAGATTGGGGACACCAACAGCAGTGTGCCTGACTGTCGAGCCTAAAGGTTGATTTAAGATTGATTTAAATCATGTTCTAAATAAAAGCAACAGCAGAATGAACCGCCAACTTATCCAGCACATGTTTTACACAGCGGATGCCCTTCCAGCTGCAACCCATCACTGGGAAACATCCATACACACTTATTCACACACGTACACTACAGACATACACTTAGCTTTCCCAATTTACCTGTACCGCATGTCTTTGACCTTGGGGAAACTAGAGCACCCAGAGGACACCCACGCAAATACGGGGAGAACATGCAAACTTCACACAGAAATGCTAACTGACCCAGCCAAGGCTTGAACCAGCGACCTTCTTGCTGTTAGGTGACAGCACTACCTATTGCGCCTCCACGTTGTCCCTTATGTGCTTATTCAGTGTTAAATGCTAATAATGTGAGTTTGAATGCCATTTAACAGGACATTTATTGCCATACTACTGTAAGCAGCAGCCGATAGTTCCCCTCAGATCTTAAATATAAAAAAAAACGTTTGAACATGAACTTTAGACCTGACTCAGTGCAAACGAACGAATATTGGTGATTCAGCATCTACATTTAATATTGTTAAAGAGATTTAATATGTTTTAATTAGATTATAAACCTTAGAATTTTGTTGGAGTGCAGTGAGTGCACTGTTCTGTGCTTCTGAATGGGTTTATTTCTGTCGTGTTTGTCTGGTGCAAAAAGCCAAATTCCTTATTACTGCAAATCTCGTCACGTATCGTGTTGTTAGGACAAGTTGTAAACTGTTTACCTAATTTAAATATTTGGAATTATTATATTTTTGCTAATTTATAATCTAGTTGGAACTCTGAATTTGCGTCTCATTTTAAAGGCTTGTACTGTCGACCGGAGGTCGCATTTCAGTTGCGGATGCGTACGGAGCCTTCCTAACTAAATGAATGAAAAACCCTGTTTTACATCAAGGCAACCTGGGTTGCTGAAATACAATTGGCTAAACTGTCATTGGGCGAACCAAAAAACAGACAGCTGTTTGGCACATAACTCGCATTTTCAAAGCAGAATATCTGACTTCAGCATTGTTTTTCAGATAAACAATAATGTTCACTTAGCATGTTTCCTAAATATCTGCAAACATATTATAGTATTTTAGGCCTTAGAAGAGTCAAAAACGTACATACAGCTCCTTTCAAGGAGAAAAAAAGTTAATTCTGTCATAATTATAGTCGAGTTCTTGCACAGACTGATTGTTTTGCTGCATAAAACCTCAGTATATTGGAGTACTGTCAAGTAAGGTTTTATGCATACTCCAAAGGGAGCTGCTCATTCACTCCTAATTCTTTTTGGTAGTGGAAGTTAAAAAAAAAAAAACATTTTATTAATATTCTTCTGGTGGCTCAAGAAGGTCGCTGGTTCAAGTCATGGCTGAGTCAGTTGACATTTCTGTGTGGCGTTTGCATGTTCTCCCCGCGTTGGGTGCTCCGGTTTCCCCCACAGTCCAAACACATATGCTATAGATGAATTGAATAAACTAAATTGGTTGTAGAGTATGTTTATGAATGAGTGTATGCATGTTTCCCAGTACTAGGTTGCATCTGGAAGGGCATCTGCTGGATAAGTTGGTGGTTTATTCCGCTGTGGCGACCCCTGATGAATAAAGGGACTAAGCTGAAGGAAAATTAATGTTCTTCAGAATAAAAGGTCATTACATCTTGGATGGTTTGAAAAATTTGAGTGATCTTGTCACCTATTTTCATTTTTGCGTGGACTGTCACTTTAACTATTATTCATTCATTCATTTTCTTTTCGGCTTAGTCTCTTTATTAATCAGGGGTCACCACAGCGGAATGAACCGCCAACTTGTCCATCATAGGTTTTACACAGTGGATGCCCTTCCAGCTGCAACCCAACAGTGGGAAACATCTGTACACTCTTGCATGCATTCACACACACACACACACACACTACGGCCAATTTAGTTTATTCAGTTCACCTATAGAGCATGTTATTGGACTGTGGGGGAAACCAGAGCACCGGGAGGAAACCCACACCAACAGGGGGAGAACATTTCCACACAGAAAAGCCAACTGACCCAGCTGGGGCTCGAACTATAGGAGGCGATTGTGCTTCCCACTGCACCACCGTGACCACCTCCTTTAACCATTACCCTAAGGTAAAATAAATAATCTTTTATTATAATTTTAAGGAAGAGAAAATACATTCACATGTTAATTATCTATAGCTTTAAATAGTACAGTACAATAGGTGGAGTTTAAGTAGATGTTTGTGGTTTAATTTCCTTTGAACTATCTACCTACATTTGTTACCAAATTTACCGGTTACGGTAAGTATGCAGAGTTGGTAAACTTGTTTTGTTCTTTCACATCTGACTGCATTCACTACAACGTCTCTTATGTCTGATAGGCAGGCTCAGGGACAATCTGCAGATGTTTATTTTTTTCTTCAATACTTCTTTATTTGCAGCATTTTGGACAGAAAAAAGTGGATTTATGCAGTATGATTTAGACTAAAAACTTAGGCTACCACATGAAAAAAAAAAACTTTTTAACTTTTATGTATGGTTTACAATGCAAATCCAATTAGATTCACTTGTCAACTAGACACCAGAAGGTTTCTCAAACAATTCTAATCTACTAAAATACAGAAAAATTACTTTACAAACTGTATTGTAAATAAATTATTTAAACATTTGCATATTACTTAATATTATTACAGAACTTAATATAAAATAATATATATTCACCTTTACAAAAGTAAATAAGCAGGTTCACTAATAATAAATCTGTGTATTTCTGGCGCACAGATTCTGTGTAGGGCTGCTGATCAACAGGAAATCTGATAGACAGCTTGTTTAAGACACAACGGCAAAAACGGTTGAAGAAAATGCTAAAAATGCAATAATGCAAGTTTAACAGGTTTTGGTAATGCGTAGGCTAAAGACGGCTTTGTGCGCGCGCTCGAGTGGAAGACTGAAAACAAGCTATATGGTGTGACAAGCCTGCACACGACAAACCGACCCACCGACCGACCGGCAGTGACCCCGAGCTACGGCTACCGTGACATCACGCACCGGACCCGTGCACGCGCCACCGCGAAGAGTCCAATCACAGCGCGCGCTCCACACCCACGCGCATACAAACCACCGCGCCGCGAGCAGTGTTTACAGTGCATACTCCGCCGGACTCCACAGGTGAACAGGTGTGTTAGACTTCCAGTTCCTGTCTCTGGGGACGAATTAAGGTAAGTTTGCGGTTCATTCGGTGACTTTAAAAGGAGTTAATTATTATTAAATGACTATCCATCCATCCATTCATTCATTTTGTGGAGGAATTTGCAGGATGAGGAGCCTTTTTCAGAGACTTTCAGAGCTGTTAGCTTAATGTTAATCAAGTTACAAGAGAAATACTATTTTAGTGATAGAGTTTGATGTAAACTAATAACGATGAGATGAATTATTTGTAAAACCTTACGTTTTGTTGAAAGCGCTGTAATTTCTGTGTATGTACTTTGGAAAGGAATAAGACGGATTAAGAACCTTTCCCAGGGGCTTCCAGATCTGTTAGCTTGCTGTAAACTAGCCTACATGAAAGACGTTTAAAACTATCCCAAACTGTTTAAGTGATGTAGTTTTGTTATCTACACATATAACAATGAGATAAATAAATAAAATCTTGCGTTTTGTTGAAACTGAAGGTTCTGGGATTTCTATTCATTCAATTTGTGGAGGAATATGGAGGATGAGGAACTTTTCTCAGAGACTTCCAGAGCTGTTAGCTTCTATTAATAGACCTTTAAAACAATCCCAAAATATTTTAGTGATATAGTTTTGATATCTAAACCCATAACCATGAGATAATTAATACAGTATGTTGCGTTTTGCTGAAACTGAAGGCGCTTGAGTTTCCATCTATCAGTTTTGTGGAGGAATATGGAGGATGAGGAACTTTTCTCAGAGGCTTCCAGAGCTGTTAGCTTCTATTAATAGACCTTTAAAACAACCCCAAACTTTTTTATTGAAATTGTTTTGATATTTAAACCCAAAACCATGAGATAATTAATACAGTATGTTGCGTTTTGTTGAAACTGAAGGCCCTTGAATTTCTGTCTATTAGTTTTGTGGAGGAATATGGAGGATGAGGAACCTTTCTCAGAGATTTCAGAGCTGTTAGCTTCTATGAAAGACACTTAAAACAATCCCAAACTATTTTAGTGATGTAGTTTTAATATCTAAACCTCTAACAATGAGATAAATAATTAAAATCTTGCATTTTGTTGAAACTGAAGGTGCTGGTATTTCTATTTATTCAATTTGAGGAGGAATATTGAGGATGAGGAATCTTTTCAGAAGCTTCCAGTGCTGTTTGCTTATTAATAGACGTTTAAAACAACCCCAAACTGTTTTATTGAAATTGTTTTGTTATTTAAACCCATAACCATGAGATAATTAATACAGTATGTTGCGTTTTGTTGAAACTGAAGGCGCTTGAGTTTCCATCTATTAGTTTTGTGGAGGAATATGGAGGATGAGGAACCTTTCCCAGAGAATTTCACAGCTGTTAGCTTATATGAAAGACATTTGAAACAATCCCAAACTATTTTAGTGATGCAGTTTTGATATCTAAATCTATAACGATGAGATAAATTATTCATTTTACGTTTTGTTGAAACTGAAATGGATGGAGTCACCAATGGTTTAAGCACTTTTTTTCTGATGTACAATTGTTTACGTTTGCTAAACCGTATTATATTTAAAAATAAGTATTATTAGATCACAATTAATAAAGATATTTTTAATTAGGTAAATTTATCAGCTTTATGTCCATCCTTTGAAAGTCTGTTCATCAAAACTTTTATCAAAACCTTTGAAAAAATTGGAAAAAAAGAAATAGGAATCTTTATCCAAGTGTTCTGAAGAGAATCATTTTTCGACAGTACTTGTTAAATGTAGGGGAGAGCGGAGGACGAAAGTAACAAAGCGATTTTTCTTGAATGACAACATTTGATGTCCAGGCTATAGCATGCAACCCTTGAGGGAGCTGCCAATTATCATGTAATTTCAGGAGCGTGTCCTGCGGTTAAGCCTGATTTCCGTTTTTAAGTGTAAATGTAAATTGTTTTTTATTATTACAAGTTGAGTTTCTCTTTTGATGTGTCACACTGATTATCAATCTATAGGTTATTTAGTGCAATAACACTTCCTTGAGTTTGCAATCTCTGAGTTTTTCAGTTTAAAGTAAATCAGGATTAAATGGCATGAGCTTTTTGCAGGGATGAAATTAAGTTTTTATGTCCCACTGCTAATAGACAAACCTTATTATTCACTTCTACATTAGAGTTTGCAGTATTTGGATTCAGACCTTTAAAAAAAATAATGCATATTTCCAATAATTGTAGAGCACTTATTTTTTTTGTTAACTTTTTGCATTGTTGATTTACTTTTGAAACATTTGATGGAGCTGAAATTTAAAATGACAATGCAGTTAATTTATTATTTTTTTTTATCAAAAATAAAGGATAAAATATGTTTGCAGTGAACTTTAATAAGATCATAGCTAGATATTTTTAAAATAAACAAGATTAAGCCAGTAAATAGCAAATATTGTTGATATTTTTGACCTACCCGTGTGTTACTTTCGTCCCTGCTGACGGGGTCAAGACTAAAAATGTGCAACTTTTGTTTAAAGTGAAATCATATTGGAGTTTTTCTACATTAACATAAAATAATACCTGATTTTGATAGACCAATCCTGTGAGTTTTTAACCACATCAAATATATTTCTTCTAAAAACATAATTTTTTAAAATTAGGTTTTTATGAAAAATTTTACGCTCTCCCCTATGGAAAACCAAGAACAAACCTATAATATGCAAAGCTTGCTTGAGCTTCCATAACCAATTTTAAATGCATTATTAATGCATTGTTTGCTGATCAAATATCAATATATCATCACTATATATGCAAATCTGTCCATATAAACTGATTTCGTCTTTTAAAAGACAGAATCACCCACTTCGAATGTTATCAGTCGATTGAATGGCCGTTATCAGTGGTTATCATCTTATTGATATGGGCCAGTAGGGGCCTTCTGTGTCTACTGGTAGACTCAGTAGGCTGTTATCATCCATCCACATGGTTAATCAGCTATACAAAGAGAGAAGACTCCAGATCCAGATCTGTTTTTACATTATTGTGAAGGTTGGGTTTAGGGTTGGGGTAGACGTTAATAAAAATACAAATAATGGGAATTTTAATAAATAATATTAATAATTCTCGTTGTTAATCAGCTATACAAATAGAGAAGACTCCAAATCTCCACATTTTACATTACTATGACGGTTGGCTTTAGGGTTGGGGTCGACGTTAATAAAATACAATTAATGAGACATTTCATTCATTCATTCATTTTCTTGTCGGCTTAGTCCCTTTAATTATCCGGGGTCGCCGAAGCAGAATGAACCGCCAACTTATCCCGCAAGTTTTAACACAGCGGATGCCCTTCCAGCCACAACCCACACACACATTCACACACACACTCATACACTACGGACAATTTAGCCTAGCCAATTCACCTGTACCGCATGTCTTTGGACTGTGGGGGAAACCTGAGCACCCGGAGGAAACCCATGCGAAGGCAGGGAGAACATGCAAACTCCACACCGAAACGCCAACTGAGCCGAGGTTCGAACCAGCGACCTTCTTGCTGTGAGGCGACAGCATTACCTATTGCACCACTGCCTCCCCTGAGACATTTAATAAATAACATAAATAATTCTTGTTAACTTCCGACCGCAGTCGTATGTGATCTATAGCTGATTAACCATGTGGATTGATGATAACAGCCTACTGAGCCTATACCAGTAGGCACAGAATGGTGCTACTGGCCCATATCTATCAGCTCATAACCACTGATAACGCCCATTAAATCGAATGATACCAGTCGAATCTGCTGACCGAATTCATGGATTATTTTTATGAATATTCTGAAGGTGAATAAACTTTGAAATGAAGCAGAAATAGGATTATAAATCTACAATTGTTTTACAAAAATAATCAGCATGTATTTGGATTCAAACATGGATGATTAAATAACACGTTTCACTCAAAAAGGCTGTCGATTTCACATGATGTAAACATTGCGTCATTTTTAATTTCCAGAGCAAAAACAAAGCTCTTTGTAGACACTTTAGGAACATTTTATTACAAGGCGATCACACGTTGGCAATACAAAGTTATTAATATACATGCAAATGCTTGCTTATGTCCCCTTTAAGAGACTCTTCAGATTCGTGGTTGTTTATTTCCCCATTCCTTCCTTCCAGAGAGAGCGAGAACCTCGCACACTACTTTAATAAGAAATCAAATTATGATTAGCAATGGCACACAGAGGCGCTTTTGTGCTGGACGTGTTCTGCTGGACTTTAGGGTGGGAGAGGAAGAGGTCATGAGATTGAGCTGTGGCAGGTATTTATGTCAATAAGCGGCAAACTTGCGTCATAATTCTGCTTTTGCATTAATAAGCCCATTCATTTTTATATGCTTTACCACATTCTTATCGATGGAGCATGTACAGTTTAGTTTACAGCACACTCCGGTTCTGTTCTCGTTTATTCCTGTCAGTTTCTTCCTCCTTTCGACCTACACAGATGGTTTGTCGACACTTCAAGTGCGAATGTTTCCGTGAATGAACTGTTGCCATAACAACAGTGTCAGTCAGTTCTCAATTGCCCGAGTTTATGATTGTGTGTTATGTTTGGGTAATAGCTTTAATGAGGGGTTGCATGAAGATTGAGTGACATAAATATGTTGTTGCTCTAATTTGAACTCAAAGTCAAATAGTAAATGATACCCCTTTGTAATGAAGAATCAAGCTATTTTTGCTCCATTCAGATTTTAATTATGACGTTATATGAATGAGAGCAACAAATGTGTACAACTGGAAAGGGAGCGGTATATGATGCAATAATCGTTTATCTCGATTAATGGTTTTTCATAATCGTTAGAAGCCAAAATCGAAATCGAGGTCAGACTTTCGATTAAATGCACAGCCCTAGATTCTCCTGTATTTTACAGTTTTATCCCACTATCATCCTGTAAAGGTATTTTCCGTATATCTCCCGTTATTTATGAAGGGTGACAATAAACATTAAAGAGCCGATCCTTCCTATACGCAACTCATACCGGCGAACCACCAGGGGACGCCCCCTGCTCTTAAATGCGAGTCTGTTCTGTGCTTTTATTTT